ACACAAAGAACACAAAAAAGCCTAGAAACACATGGAGGCTAAACAACATGCTTCTAAATAATCAATGGATCAATGAACAAATTAAAACAGAAATCAAGCAATTCATGGAGACTAATTAAACAAAAATTCAGCAGCCCAAAATCTGTGGGACACTGCAAAGGCAGTTCTAAGAGAGTGGTACATAGCAATACAGGTCTCAAGAAACAAGAAACAAGAACACTCTCAAATAAACAGTCTAAAATCATAATTAAAAGAGACTAGAAAAACAAATGAATACCAAAGTTAGTGGAAGGAGGGACATAATAAAGATCAGAGCAGAAATAAATAAAATAGAGAATAAAACAGTGGGAAAAAATCAATAAAACCAGGGGCTGGTTCTTTGAAAAGATAAACAAAATAGATAAACCCCTAGCCAGATTTATCAAGAAAAAGAGAGTACACAAATAACCAAAATCAGAAATTAAGAAGGAACAGTCACAAATGATACCACAGAAATATAAAGAATTATTAGAGAATTCTATGAAAAATTATATGCCAATAAATTCGACAACTTAGGAGAAACAGACAAATTCCTAGAAAAAAACCTTCCAAGACTGACACAGAAGAAACAGAAAATCTGAACAGACCAATCACCAGTAATGAAATAAAACTGATAATCAAAACACTACCCAAATACAAAAGTCCAGGTCCAGATGGCTTCACACCTGAATTCTATAAAACACTTAAAGAGCTAATACTCATCCTTCTTAAAGTATTCTGAAAAGTAGAAGAGGGAATACTTCCAAACTCATTCTATAAGACCAGCATCACTTAATACTAAAACCAGGCAAAGACACTACAAAAAGAGAAAGCTACAGCCAATATAATATTCTTTATGAACATATGCAAAACCCCCAACAAAATATTAACAAGCCAAATTAAAAAATACATCAGAAGGATCATCCATCACAACAAAGTGGGATTTATTCCAAGGATGCAAGGATGGTATAATATTCATCAATCAATTAATATCATACACCACATTAACAAAAAGAAGGATAAAAACCACATGATCATCTCAATAGATGCCAAGGAAGCACTTGACAAAATTCAACATCCATTCATGATAAAAACTCTCAACAAAATGGGTATAGAGGGTATGTAACTCAACATAATAAAGACCATATACAACTAACCCACAGCTAAAATCATAATTAATGGTGAAAAGCTGAAAGCTTTTCCTCTAAGATCAGGAACAAGACAAGGATGTCTACTCTCACCACTTTTATTCAACATAGTATTGGAGGTCCTGGCCAAGGCAATCAAACAACACAGAGAGATAAAAGGCATCCAAATCACTAAAGAAGAAGTTAAACTGTCACTGTTTGCAGATGACATGATATTATACATACAAAGACTCCACCATAAAACTATTAGAACTAATTCAGCAACGTTGTAGTATACAAAATTAATACACAGAGATCTGTTGCATTCCAATAGACCCACAACAAACTAGCAGAAAGAGAAATCAGGAAAGCAATTCCATTTACAAGTGCATCAAAAAGAATAAAATACCTAGGAATGAACCTAACTGAGGAAGTGAAAGATCTATACTCTGAAAAATATAAGACAATCATGAGAGAAATTAAAGAAGACACAAATAATTGGAAATCTATCCCATGTTCATGGGTAGGAAGAATTAATATTGTCAAAATGACCATCCTGCCCAAAGTCATTTATAGATTCAATGCAATCCCTATCAAAATTCCAAAAACTTTTTCAATGAACAAATAGTTCTACAATTCATATGGAACCACAAAAGACCCTGCATAGCCAAAGCAATCCAGAGAAAGAACAAAGCTTGGGTTATTACACTCCCTGACTTCAAGTTATACTACAAAGCTATAATAACCAAAGCAATATGGTACTGACACAAGAACAGACCAACCGATTAATGGAACAGAATAGAGAGCCCAGAAAACATCCACACATGTACGGTCAATTAAAATACGATAAAGGAGCCATGAATATACAATGAAGAAAAGTCTCTTCAAATAATTGGTGTTGGGAAAACTGGACAGCTACATGCAAGAGAATGAAACTGGGTAACTACCTAACTCCATACACAAAAGTAAACTCAAAATGGATGAAAGACCTGAATGTAAGACATGCAACCATAAAACTCTTAGAAGAAAATGAAGGCAAAAATCTTTTGAACATAAGTATAAGCATGTTTTTCCTGGACACATCTCCTTGGTCAAGGGAAATAAAATTAGAAATGAACAAGTGGGACTAAATCAAACTAAAAAGCTTCTGTACAGCAAAGGACATGATCAGCAGAATAAAAAAAGGCAACATACAGTATGGGAGAATATATTCAAAATGATTTATCCAATAAGGGGTTAACATCCAAAATATATAAAGAGCTCATATACCTGAACACCAAAGAAAACCCCAAATGACCTATTTAAAAAATGGGCAGAGGCCCTGAACAGACATTTCTTCAGACAAATACAGATGGCCAACAGGCACATGAAAAGATGTTACACATCATTAATCATCAGGGAAATGCAAATCAAAACCACTGTGAGATATCACCTCACACCAGTCAGAATAGCCATTATCCAAAAGACAAGAAGTAACAAGTGTTGGTAAGTATGTGGAGAAATGGGAACCCTTCTGTACTGTTGGGGAAAGTCAGTTGGTGCAGCCACTGTGGAAAGCAGTATGGAGTTTCCTCAAAAAACTAAAAATAGAAATACCATTTGACCCAGTAATTCCACTTCAAGGAATTTACCTGAAGAAAACAAATTCCCCAATTAAAAAAGATACATGCACCCTTATGTTTACCACTGAACTATTTACAATAGCCAAGATATTGAAGCAACCTAGGTGTTCATCAATAGATGAATGGATAAAGAAGATGTGGTACCTACATACATCGAAACATTATTCAACCATAGAAAGGAAAGAAATCCCACTATTTGTCACAACATGGACCTAGAGGGTATTATGCTCAGTGAAAAAAGCCAGGCAGAGAATAACAAATACCATATGATTTCACTTACCTGTGGAATATAAAAACAAAGGAAAAAAGAAGGAATGAAACAGCCAGACAGAGAATGACAAATACCATATGATTTCACTTATTTGTAGAATATAAAAACAAAGCAAAACAGAAGGAACAAAACAGCAATAGACTCAGAGACACTGAGAAGGGACTGGTGGCTACCATAGGGGAGGGGTTGGGGTGGCAGGGTGGGGAGGCTGAGGAGGATAAAGGGGCACAAAAATTCTCAATCATAATGTAGGTTGGTCACAGGGAAAATAGTACAGCATGGAGAATACAGCCAATGATTCTGTAACATCTTCCTACGTTGACAGACAGTAGCTGTACTAGTAGGGTTGAGGATATAATAATATGGGTAATGTTGAACCACTGTATCGTATACTTGAAACTAAGATTGTTTATCAATGATACTTCAATTTTAAAAATATATTTAAAAAATTAAAGACAAAAAAGTGTTATAGGCACTCTCTGGAAGTATTCACACTCATGGAACCTCATTAGATTTTCAAGTGGCCTGTCTTGAAGGTGCTATCTGCTCTAAAATTCTCATCTGAAGATCAGGTCTGTGGCTTAGAAACAACTCATATTCTTCACTCAGGGTCTCGAATTTCTGACTTCCTTTCCTGTCACTTCTCTGCATCCAGTACCTTTAAGGCTCTAGGGTGAGTGGGCACCAGGAAACAGCAGGGAACCTACAAATACAATGCCAGGGTGAACTGATGATACAGAAATGAAGCAAGAAAGGCTATGTGTGAACTGGGGCTGGGAGGTGGGTGTGCAAGAGGGTGGACGAGGTAGTCACTGTGGTCAGAAGAGAAAGAAGTCCTCCAAGTAGGGCAAAGTCACAGGGGAGTCATGATCCACAGGCTGACTCAGCTCCAGAATGAACCACAAATACCAGAAATAAAAATACAATTTTACCTCTGTACTCCATTAAACTCCTGTAAGGTCACAGATTATATAAAGTACACAAATAACCACACAAGTCACACAATCACATCTCCACAGTCACACAGCCAGAGTCACAATCATCAAGTTAATGCTACATTGTCACACAGCCTAGTCTTAAACAAAATCCAATCATACACAGAGCATACACACAATCACTCAAGCACATCCAAACACCCTGTCAGGACACATATAGCCCAAAACATCCTTTCACAGCAGCACTTTTACTCTCTTGACACAGTCATGAAAACGGCACACACACGGTACCACAGTCCCACGCGTGGCACATACAGTCATCCAACCAGATAGTCAGAAAAACACAAACTTAAGTTCTAGGTCAAGGAAACAAGCAGGCACAAACACCTTCTCACATCAACACTTGTCAACACCTCAAAGTCACAGGTAAACCCCTGTAATACACATGACACACAACCTCAAAGTGGCACAAGGACGTCCAAACATCCTGTCACAAGAGCACTGTCGCACATCTATCTCACACTCATAAGCAAACCCCAGTCATACGGTATACATACATACAACCACACTGTCACATAAACACATTCCCAGTCAGATAAGTACACGGTCACATATCACTGTCACACAAATATTATCACAAACAACTCACACACAAACGCTTATCCACAAAACCGGTTGCACATGCCCGTTCGCCCAGTCACCAACACCAGGCAGGCTGTCGGACAACACAAACCCGCAGAAGACAGCCACACACGCATTTTCAGCAAATCTCCTCCGCGCGTTTTCGCCCAGGCATTCCGCGCATCCTCACCTCGACAGAAGGTGCTGTTCAGGGTCCGGGATTTGGCGCCCGGGGTCTAAGCCCGACTTTGGGTTCGCCCGCCCAGCGGGAGCCGGGCCAAGTTCCTCCACAGACGCACCGTCTCCCAACGCGAGACCTCCAAATCGCGCGAAGAACCGGAAATGAGGCCGCTTTCGGGCCGCGGCAGCTCTGGGAAATGTAGTCCAAAGCCGCGAAAGCCGCGGCTGGAGGGGCAGGTCGCTAAGAGGCCCCGTCCACTAACCTCGGCGCGGGCTCGCGGCGCCCGACACTAGAACGAGATTTAAAGCGCCCCGGAGATTCCTGGGAGTGCTCGGCTGTCCTACTGAGCAGGCGTCCGTCGCTCTCGGCTGGGGTGGTTGGGGCCTGAGACCAGCGGTAGATGAGTCGTACTGGGGTCTGACGGGACCCCGAACAGGAGCTACCCGCCAGCTTGGCAGGTGCCGGGGAGGAGCCAAGACGGTGCGGGGACCCTCTGTGAGTTTTGTCAGACCCTTTGTTGGGTGTGAGACAGCGCGAGATGTCGGGCGGACTAGGAGGCCCTCAGTGGCCGGGAGTGTGGTTGTGTTTCGGTGTGTGTGTGATTCTGCCGGCTGTTATACGTGAGGTGATTTCGTACTTGAAGCTGATGGTAATGGCATTTTAAAACTGTGTGGGATTGACAGAGTAAGTGACCTCTGCTGTCGTGATTTGTTTTGTGTTCTAATTGATTGTCGTTGCGTGACTGGTGATGATTTGTGTTACGTAAAGTGCTTTTCTCTTGCCTGTATTTCAGTGTCTGTAGGACCTAGACTAGCCAAAGAGCATGTGTATGACTCTAAAAACGATGAACGGTCAGATTATCTCTTGAACACTAATTTGATGATCTGGAAAAGGTCAGTGTATCTGGCAAATAATTTAGACATGATTTTTCTATTGGATCAAATGCGCATATTAGGAAGAACGCAACATTGTTTTTTTTTAAAGAAAGATTATTTCAAAGGCAGTCCTAGCATAATTGCTTTCTCCCCTTCCCCCCCACCCCCAAAGTAGGCATCCATTCTTTTCTAATTGGGAGACATTACTGGATTAAAGTTGAGAGGCCATCGACAAATGAAATAAAATAATTTTATATATAAGAAGAGTGAATTTTAGCAGAGTCTAGCATTAGTCAGATTTCCTGAATTCTAGGTCTTGTCTCCACTTTCTGATGAGCAAACCTTCGCTCACAAAGACAAAGGAACTTAAGGCGGTATGTTATTTTGGTAAGCCTGAACTTGTCTCCACTTACTTTAAAACCTCTCTCTTTTTTTTTAATTATCACAAACTTTTGAACTTCTGCACAGAGGTGTTTTGAGTTGTAATTTCACCACTCCCCCAGGGGGAACAAAATTAATAAAACTTATTCTGACTTTGAGAACCTTATACCACCAAATACTTGATCTCTTCCCAGTAATGTGACTGGAGAAGCAGGTTTGGCGACTGGGATTATTGAGTGGATGAACTCGTGTGCATGATCCAGTATACCAGTGTGAAACAAAGATGGTCAAATTGCACTGATTTAGAGTGGGTCAAAGTGGAGCAAGAATTTTGTCAGAATACACATAAAATATAGATTGGATTTTTTAAGAGGACATTTGGTTTCAAATTAGCATGCATCCATCTCAAGCCACATGTATTTCTGGGTTCTCTTTTGGCTTTTGAATAGTTTTGGTGACTGGTTGTAAGAAAAAGAGGCTGTTGTGTAAAAGTGAAAAACAGGAATTGTGAATTTGGGATGAATAGATTCCGTGTGGATGGGCTTCTTGTATTGTTACACTTGTGACATTTTGTATGTTTGGATATAATGTAATTTTTTATTTTTAGAGAACGTATAGGCAGTTTTATTAGATTCACAAAGAGGTACCTTGACCCAAAAAGGTTAAGGCCATTAGAAATACAGACTGCAGGAGCTGAGGATGACTTTTTTTTTAAAGCATACTGTGTAAAATATGTAATGTAGAAAAAAGTATATACTTCATGGAAGGATACCCACCAACCTCATGTCAATGGTAACCTTTGGGGTGAGAAAAGAACTTACGGTAAAGAGGGAAAAGTTTCAAAGGGAACTTTCAGCATTACTAATAATCTCTTTTTATTTCTTTACCAGAAAAACATATGGCTTATGTATTTATATTTTAATTTTTTAATTCAAAAGAAAATGGAGACTTTGAAGGTTTTGGAAGAAGAAAATGAGCCAAGGACTCCAAACTCGGTGAAAGCACAGAGAATCCAGAACAACTTGACCCTTAGAAGGACTGCAGAGAGAAAGGAATACTCAAGCAACAATTTTTCGTAGGCCTAAGGTGACTTGTTTATCAACTGGCAATTTTAGATTTACCCCCTTATGACCCATTTTGACTTTATAGACCTTAAAGGGTTAGTTGTTTCTTCAGCCCAGCAAATGGATTCAGCCCAGTGTTCATAGCTGCCCACGAATAGCATTGGTAAAGTATGTTCTCTTTCCTGGCAAATCATTTTCTTGAGTCTTTGTCATTATTGGCAAATGATTTTGACCTTCTTCCAATAGATTGGGTTTATACCAGTACATAAGGGTCAGACATTTAATCAGAGATCCTGGGAAAATATTTGAGTCACTCTGATAATTTTATAATTATTTTCCTGAAGTTTTTAATTTGAAAAAATTTAAAGCTACAGGTAAACTAAAAGAATGTTATGATTCACTGTAAATGCTTCACCTAGATACACCAGGTTTTAACATTTTGTACCATTCGCTTAAACTCTCTACTCCTATTTACATATTTTTGTTTGTATTTATGAGTAAGCTGCAGACATCATATGCTTCACCCCCAGATATTTCAGTGTGCATCTCTAAGAACAAGGGGTTGACCTGTATAACCTCAATATCATGAATACACAAATTTATTCATAATATCATCTGATATATAATCCATACTTAAATTATACCACTTGTTCCCCAGATGTCCTTCCTATATATCCATTTAAAAAATTGATCCACAATTCAAATCAAAGTCACAGTGCATTGAATTGGCTTATCTTTTTTTTTTTTTTTTAACAACAGACATTTATTTCTCACAGGCTGGGAATTCCAAGATCATGGTACAGGCAGATTTAGTTCCTGGTGAGAGCCCCTTCCAGGTTTACAGATGGTGGCTGTTCCTCACATGGCAGAGAGAAGGCATATATTTTTAGGTTCTTTAATGGAAAGTTCTGTTCTCCTTACCTCTTTTGTGTTTTGCCGTAACATTTTTGAAGCATTAAAGAGTCTAGAACATTTGCCTTGTAGAGTGTCTAACATTCTGGATTTGTTTGTTTTGTCATAATTCGGTTTAAGTTGAAATGTATTTGGCAAGAATACTGTGGATGGTGGTGTACTCTTCCTATTTTATCATATAAAGAAGCACATAATTTAAGTTTGATCCATTGTTGGTGATACTAAATTTGATTGCCTCAGTTCAAGTCATGTGTGCACCTGAATTCTGCATGGTAAAAGTTACCTTTTTTCTTTGTATGCCAAGAAGTACTCTGATGGGGATATTTTGAGACCATCTCACATATATAACTTTTTACCTAATGGTTTTAGCATCCATTGATGATCCTTTGCCTACTAAATCGGGTTGCAATAGTGATTTTATTTCATCAATCCTTTTCCCCCCTTTCCCTCTCTACCTCTGTTCTTTCTCTCTTATCATTATGACTCATGGGTTTTTTTTTCCATTTAAAATAATTTACTACAAGGAACTATGTATTTTAGCCCATTATCACCATTTTTTGTGTTTCTCAAATTATTCCAAATCTGGCCTCACAGACTGACTCCTGTATCCCTGTTTTGTTTTTGAGCACTATTTTACTTTTTGAGACAGATATTCCACACTTAACATTGTACATTTCCTGTCCCAGACCTGGAATTAGCCACACTTTCTGAGGAAAACTTTTGAGGTGATCTTTTCAAATATATATCCCTAACATGAAATATTTAAGTAATTTGTGGTACACATGCAATGAAATGGTTTATATCCAATAAATTTGGGTTTTAAAGATTTTAAATTTTAAACTAACAAAAATGAATCTTAAAAGTTTATATTGGTGACATCTATGTTGATTATTAATATTCTATATCATAAATGTGAATGCTGAATAGATAGTATTCCATTGTTTAGATTTACCATAATTTATTTAAATCATTCTTTGCTGATGAATATTATGTTGCCATTTTTTTCAATATAATAAGTAATACCCCATGAACATTTTTATGCTTTCTTTTATAGATACCTGTCAGGTTAATTCTGAGACATCAATAAAAATGAAAGGTTAAAAATGAGGACATTTGTTGAGTTATTATATAAATAGGGTACTAAGTATTTAAGAAAGATACAAAGATGAAAAGTTATTTTTAGCCTAGCAAAAAAGATAAAAGCTGTGCTAAAGTAACTCTACCAGTGTATAAAAGTCATTAGCAAGTTACAAATGCATGTTCAGGAAGTTTAGAGGAGGGCTATATTGACTTAGTCGGATGTGCTGGCGTGTCACCGACCAGGGGTCTTGGGAGACGTCCCTTGCCCCCGTCAGGAGGACGAAGTCCTCATCTGTGAGGAAAGTCGGCTGCTGCTGCAGTCCAACAGGCCCTCAACTTACTTTCAGTTTTGCCTCCACAGCTGCAGCAAGCTGTTCTCTGTAGGTGCCTGTTTGTTAGTTGTCCTGTTTATCTTAATCTTGTTGACAGAAGAAATGGGACAGATGCAGATGACCCCCTTGTCTCTCATGACAGACCATTTTTCAGATGTTAGGGAGAGAGCTCACAATTTGAGCATGGACGTCAAGGGAAAATTTCATGTTTTCTGCCCCTCCAAGTGGCCGTCCTTTAATGTTGGCTCACCGCTGGAGGGAACATTTGATCTAACCACTCTTTTACAGGTTAAAGATGTCAGGGGAAGAGCTAACAACCTCAGAGTAGAAGTCCCGAAGGGTCGGTGGCAGACTTTTTGCTCTAGCAAGTAGCCAGCTTTCAATGTTGGATGGCCGCCAGAGAGAACCTTATCATTATGTCTCAATCTGTACATTTGTGTGTCTAAGTGTGTAAATGAAAATATCTTTCTACCTCCAGATGGTATTAATAAAAATTGATTTAAAGACAAGCGCTTGTGGAAATTGGGCATTCTAAAACTCCCAGAAAATTCTAATAGAAGATATTAAACAGTAATGCTAATTTAAGTTGAACTGAAAACAGACATGTCCTTATGGTTATCAGCTGCCTAAGTTTACCTAAAGTCATTTAAGTTGATGTTATCTCCTAAGTCTTTCAAGAATAAAATGCTCAGAGGCCTGATTTTGTCTAATGTTCAGTAAAAGTTTTGTAAATAATCTAGCATAGTTGTTAGGAATGAGTAAGCTAAATAAGTGTGGCAAATGAACACCTTAATAAATGTGTGTTACAGTGTGTATACCTACCTACAGCCTGGGAATCTTTGTGGTAAGCAAAAACCTTAAAGTTTTGCTAAGTTAAGATATACTTTATGCTTAGTGAGAGATTGTGCTGTAAAGCTTATGGTTACAAAAATTATAAAATGTGTGAGGTGCAGCTAAGATGGCGGTGTGAGTAGAGCAGTGGAAATCTCCCAAAACCACATATGTTTTTGAAAATACAACATATATAACTCTTCCTAAAAGAGAGACCAGAAGACACAGGACAACAGCCAGACTACATCCACGCTTGCGGGAACCCAGCACCTCACAAAGGGGGTAAGATACAAGCCACAGCCCGGCGGGACCCAAGCGCCCCTGATCCCAGCTCCCGGTGGGAGGAGAGGAGTTGGAGCGGCGAGGGAGAGGGAGCGCAGGACTGCTAAACACCCAGCCCTAGCCATCCACACTACAGTGCAGACACAGTACATGCATGGGGTCCTGGAAAATAGGGAAACAGGACAGTAAGACCTGTGAGCAGGTCCCCGCAGCTGGCGCCCCTGGGACAAAGAAAAGCGAGTGCTTTTTGAATGTCTTAAAGGGACAGGGACCCCACAGCTGGACAGAAGTGTCCCGGGACACTTACCCCAGTAGCTGGGAATCCCGGGGAACTCTGGGCACTCTAACTCCCTGGGCAGCAGGGCAACTTGGAGGCCCTTTATGGAGATAAACAGCCTCCCATCCATTTCCCCTCCCACACGGCTCTGCCATATTGGAGGAGCAGCCTGAGGCAGGCCATGCCCACAGCAAACACAGAGCTAAACTCCATAGCAGCCGGGCAAGAATCAGAAGCCCCGTCTGCATGCAGCTGCCCAGCACAAGCTGCTAGAGGTCACTGTTCTCCAAGGAGAGGAAGGCCACAAACCAACAGGAAGGGACGTTCTCCCAGCCATCACTTGCACCAGTTCTGCAAACTATTTCTATCGCCATGAAAAGGCAGAAAAATTTGATACAGAGTAAAATCACAACCCCTGAGAAGGAGATAGACCTAACCAGTCTTCCTGAAAAAGAATTCAAAATAAAAATCATAAACATGCTAGGAGAGAGACAGGAAGATGGTGGTGTGAGTAGAGCAGCGGAAATCTCCTCCCAAAACCACATATTTTTTGAAAATACAACAAATACAACTCTCCCTAAAAGAGAGACCAGAAGACACAGGACAACAGCCAGGCTACACCCACACCTGCAAGAACCTAGCACCTCGTGAAGGGGGTAAGATACAAGCCACGGCCCGGTGGGACCCGAGCATCCCTCATCCCAGCTCCTGGTGGAAGGAGAGGAGTTGGAGCAGGGAGGAAGAGGGAGCCCAGGACTGCTAAACACCCAGCCCTAGCCATCTGCACCAGAGCGCAGACAGTGCATGCGTGGGGGTACTGGAAACTAGGGAAACAGGACAGTAAGACCTGTGAGCAGGTCCCTGCAGCTGGCGCCCCGGGAACAAAGAAAAGCGAGTGCTTTTTGAAAGTCTTGAAGGGACAGGGACCCCACAGCTGGATGGGAGTGTCCCAGAACACTTAGCCTAGCAGAAGGGAATCCCGGGGAACTCTGGGCACCCTAACCCCCTGTGCAGCAGGGTGGCTCGGAGGCTTCTCACGGAGATAAACAGACTCCTGGCTGTTTCCCCTCCAACCTGGCTCTGCCATATCGGAACAGTAGCCCAAAGCAGGCCACGCCCACAGCAACTGTGGAGCTAAACTACATAGCGGCCAGGCAAGAATCAGTGGCCCAGTCTATGTGCAGCTGCCCAGCACAAGCCGCTAGAGGTCGCTGTTCTCCCAGGAGAGGAAGGCCACAAACCAAAAAGAAGGGACGTTCTCCCAGCCGCCATTCGTCCCAGATCCGCAAACTATCACCATCTCCATGAAGAGGCAAAATCTGAGACAGACAAAAATCACAGAGACAACACCTGAGGAGATAGATCTAACCAGTCTCCCTGAAAAAGAATTCAAAATAAAAATCAGAAACATGCTGAGAGAGCTGCAGAGAAATATGCAAGAGCTAAGGGATGAAGCCCAGACGGAGATTACAGATGTGCAGAGGGATATTACAGAAGTGAAACAAACTCTGGAAGGATTTATAAGCAGAATGGATAAGATGCAAGAGGCCATTGATGGAATAGAAACCAGAGAACAGGAACGCATAGAAGCTGATGCAGAGAGAGATGAAAGGATCACCAGGAATGAAACAATATTAAGAGAACTGTGTGACAAATCCAAAAGGAAACAATATCCACATTATAGGGGTACCAGAAGAAGAAAAGAGAGAAAAAGGGATAGAAAGTGTCTTTGAAGAAATAATTGCTGAGAACTTCCCCACACTGGGGGAGGAAATAGTTGTTCAGACTATGGAAGTACACAGAACTCCCAACAGAAAGGACCCAAAGAGGACAACACCAAGACACATAATAATTAAAATGCAAAGATCAATGACAAGGACAGAGTATTAAAGGCAGCCAGAGAGAAAAAAAAAAAAGGTCACCTACAAAAGAAAACCCATCAGGCTATCATCAGACTTGTCAACAGAAACCTTACAGGCCTGAAGAGAATGGCATGATATATTTAATGCAATGAAACAGAAGGGCCTTGAACCAAGAATACTGTATCCAGCATGATTATCATTTAAATATGAAGGAGGGATTAAACAACTCCCAGACAAGCAAAAGTTGAGGGAATTTGCCTCCCACAAACCACTTCTACACGGTATTTTAGAGGGACTGCTCTAGATGGGAGCTCTCCTAAAAAAAGCACAGAATGGAACACCCAACATATGAAGAATGGAGGAGGAGGAATAAAAAGGGAGACAAATAATCATCAGGCT